CAAACAGAAAACTTTGTGTCAATCATCAAAGAAAAACAGTCCTTCACTCATAGGCCGCTGAGGATCATATAAATATCTTTGCATCTCCTTCCAAAGGGTGGCTACCATTGACACCCCTGGCAAAATGTTTTATTTGTGAGGAACTCTGAGAAGAGTTCCTGGTGTTTTCGGTATGAACTTGGTAGACATACTTGCAAAAATATTTGTGTATGTGGGGATGTTGCACTTTAAAAACATTTTGCTTTGGCTAAACTTGATCAGCTTCGACTGATATTTGGGAATATTTCTGTGCTTCTTTAACACTTCATTTGGCCACTGGAGGTTGTTCAAAACCTTCCCTTATTCAGGTCCTGTGTTAACGTATGAAGTCCCAAGAAATAGGTTTCCCAGCATTTAACAGCCCTTTCCAAATCAATTGGCATGAAATATTTGTTTTGTTTTTGCACCAAATTTTGATATTTATACAGTAGGACAGCTGAAGGAGGGTATTTTATTGCAGCTCAGGAGTAATTCATTTTGTTTGAATAGTAAGTATGAGTGTAGGCAGCAAAGATCAAACATTTATATCACAGTTATATGGTCTATGGGCAAATCATTCATCATGATCCTCATCAGATAATATTTATTAAACAGCTGCATGAAGTCTCATAATAACTTTTATTTATTGATGAAAACTATGTAGTTAACTTATACTAATATATCTTTTTTTGCCTATATTATTTATTCTACACATTGCCACCAGAATTATATACTTTTTGTTTATGGGGTTCTAGCAGCTGAATGGCAAATGGGATAAATACAAATGCACTAATTTCAGATGGTACTTTTTAGTTAAAAAAAAATACTGTCGAAAACTGCTAGTTTGTAGTTAAAATCATAAGAAATATTTCCACTGAATTAAAACACAAGAATAAGTAAAACCGTCAAGTTGTTTGATGTTATATATTTCAAAGCTATAGATACTTATTAAAATAAAAGACAAAAATCATAATATTATTATTTAGATTCTTTATACCTTGATGAGTCCTGTCTTAATCAGTTCAGGCTGCCATAATAGACTACTATAGAATGGTGGCTTATAAACAACAGACATTTATTTCTCACAATTCTGGAGGCTGGGAAGTCCAAGATCAAGATGCCGGCAGATTTGGTATCTGGTGAGGGCCTGATTCCTGGTTCATAGATGGCTGTCTTCTCACTGTGTCCTCATATGATGGAAAGAACACTAATCCCACTCATGAGGGCTCGCCTACCAAAGGCCCCACCTCCTAATACCGTCACAATGGGGATTAGGATTTCAACATATGAATTTACAGAAGACATACATTCAGTCTATAGCAAGGCCTAGGGAAAAGTTATATTCATTCTGTACAATACTGTATTTCATTAGTGTGCAGTAATTCTTTGTATTCTGTAGTTTTTGTAATTTCAAAAGTTTCCTAAACTAAAAAGTTTCCACTTCCAAATTAGAATCTGTTAAATAATATAAATTATTTAATCCAAATCCAAAATTTTGTTTTTTATTTAACCATTTTAATTTACATTTTCTTTTAGTGAATATCTAGTGACTCCTTAAAATAAGGTTATATCAAAGGTTTTAAAATATGCTAATGAAAGTTTAGAAAAAACTTTTCAACATAATTGTTTAAATGAGGATTTTATGATTGCTATTTTTAAAAGTAAAAGATTCTTTGATTAAATCTCGGGAACCTCTGCAGTGGAGGTGCAAAATTAGTACCAACAATTTATGTCTTTGAACTTGACACTGAAATTTTAGTGGATCAATCGACAGTGAAATATTTTCCCTGATATTCTTATATGAGTGGTCTTTTCTTTGATTTGAGGTTTTTGTAATATAGGTATTTCTTTCCACAGAGACTCCTAAAATTTGAAAACTTTGCCCTAAAGTTAGGAAAATACTTATCTTTTACTAGCTTTTAAATTTTATCATTCCTCTTAATATTTTCTGATGATCATGTGGTTGCTTGAAGTTACTCATTGAATTTTCCAGATATTGATTTCCTAATGAATTATGGTAATATTTGTTTACTTTAATAATGTCCCCTTTTTATAAAGAGCGGTGTAATTGAAATTATTTTTGAGTTTAAAGCTCTATGTATTGTTTCAAATTTTAACTATCATGGGTCATTTCTACAAGAGCATCACTTTAAGAAAGGTATTTATGAAAAAATTACTTTGAAAATCCAATCACTCTCATCTAATAACACACTCTAGAAACGACACTTGATATTCAATCTTACATTGACACTGTCGGCATGAAGTTTTACTCTCTCACCCCCACCAGGCATAGCGGCAAGGCATAGATTTACAATGTCAAGCTACCTTCACACAGAAGAGGAAACAGCCCTCTGAACCTGTTTCCACATTTAGAAATACCATTAAATAATGGCCAAATCTCTAATCGTCTCTGAATATCATATTCCTTTTTTTCATTGTTTAGGTTGGTATCTGGCAAATCATACTAGTGTCCAAAGAGCAGAGCGTGTTAATCTCTGATGGGCTCAGCCTTGAGCTACCTTCTCAGTGAGATGTGATGAGCCCATATCTAGCCAAAGGTGGCCTTGATAGACATCAGAACTCATCAAGACTGGGTTTTTGGTTACATGTTCACAGTGTCAGAGTGATACTCAAGAAAAATGGGTCAGTAATAAACAAATAAAACAAAACACACACAAATAATTAGGAAAGTAAGAGAGTTGAAGTACCCAAGACGGGCAATGAAGTCCATGAGAAGATTAGTGGAAGCGTTTTTGCTCTGGCTGCCCTAACTCTGACCTTCCTCCCATTGTTAAGATTCTGAGTTCTGACCAAAAACACGAGTTTGCTGCCCAGGACCTTGTGCTCAAGAAGTGGGAAAGTCAAAAGTTTTCTTCTGAAAATGTTAAGCTAATGAATTGATGAATTCCTGGAGACATTTGTTTTTGTCTTCTTTCACATCCTAGTTTTATAACTAGATATGAAATATGTCAGTACAAGCTTGACCTTTTACCTTTTTTAGAGTTATAACCCTTTAAAGACATCCCCCATGCACTCAGTCTTCTCAAATCATTTATCAGTTAATTCAAATCATCAGAAATATAGTAGCTTAGTGGCATTTGTTTTGATGAAATATAGTTCCTCAGGACCTATGAAATCCATCTTGTTTTCTATTTCATCAGAGAACTTTAGATAATATTAAAATCATAAAGCACTTGGCTAACCAGCACCAACTTTTTCTGTACAAGTAGTTTCTCCCAGCCCAATAATTTTAGTTCTTCCTGAATTGATACATAATACCAATACCAATATATATTAATTCTCTAGGCTATCAACTCTCAATGACCACTTTATGAGTCGATGTCTGGACATTTTCTCATCTCCATTTGAATTTCCTTTTAATTTATTTCTGAGCCACATTTCTATTCCTTAAAGTAGATACATAAGAAATAAAAATCTATTTTAAAATGAGCTGAAGAAAAGTTTTTAAAAGGGCAATTTGTGGAAATCTGTATATACAACATGTTCCAGTGGTTGGAATGGTCGTTAATTAATCCTCCTCCATCTTTATACAAAGCTTCATAGAATAACTCCAAACTTAGCCTCAACTTAGTTTGCATGGAACTCAGTGACATAAAGCATTCAGCCACATAAGATAGTAATTATTTGTAAGAAGAAATAAATTTAAATGAAATTGAAGAGCCATTTTAAAAGAATTTACACTATTAAATGTGGAACACTTTTCTAGACATCTCTAGCCTCTGAAGGCATGTCTAATTCTGACCTCTCCTTTGAGAAGTGATACATCTAATTCCAGAATGGATGAATCAAAGACATTTATTCAAATCGTAAACTGTTCTAGAGGTGTCAACTTGAGTTTTATTCAGAGGCATCTTGAATGACCACTTAGAATGTAAAGGTAACTGGGAAGTTTACATTGACTTTACTCTATTGACATAAACATTTTCATGTATCTTTTGAGAAGGTATATGAATTTTAGTTGCTCCAGAATGTTTATGTTTTGTTTAAGTGAGTAAACATTAAAGAGAAAAAGAGAGAGCCTAAGTTGTGGTAAAAATTTAATTTTGTAGTTTTTTTACTTTATTACTGAGATTTTCATGATCTTCCTGACATGTGGTAAGCATTGCAGTCACACTAGGAAAAAAGCCTAGGAACAACTGATTTGTCTTTGTAATGCCAACAAGTTGATTAAAAAGAAAAATTTAAAATATCAGCTTAGAATATATTTATCATATTAGAAGGAAATCATGATTAATACCATTGCCAACTTTATGTGTATTTAAGCAAACTAATTTTAGGAATAATTGTATAGTTATTTCAGAAATACTGAGTATTCAATATTTATAAGTTCTAGTGACATATGGAAGTATAATGCCTTTAAAGAATTATTCAAATTAATTCATACACTAATTTGGTGTTTGAAAGAAAAATTGGAATAGAGATAATAATAATAAATTCAATTTTTTTTGTTAACTTTGCTTTCTAGACTAACATTAATTTTCCTTTTCTTACTTTTTTTATGGTCAAACTCACAGGACAGTGCTTTTTAATTTCCCTACTTGGTGACCACATTACTCATAGATGTTTTTCAATTTCTAAAGAAAGAAAGTGATTTTTTAAAAACATATATGCTGTACTTAAACATTAATAAATAGATTTTACATCTAATGTTCATGAATGATTAGACAGAACCAGAAAACTTAAATACTATAAGATGATGATTTTTGAAACTGATCTAGATAAAGCCAAGCTAGAATATTATGTTTCGTAAGCAAAGAAATTCCACAGTTGAGTCCACCATGTTAACTCACTCCTTCAGGTTGAGTGAGATAGTAATAACGATAAATTGAATTTTTTATTCCACTCAATATTATAAAACTTTTGTGACAGAAAACCCTGGTAATACAAATGCAAGTGAACTCTAAGAGGTAGATGCCAAGTTGAAAGGTTTTATTTAAGTTTGTATTTCCCTTTACCCGTAGCTCACAGTACTACGAATGACACAGATGTCCCTGTGGAAACCACTGAATGCATTCAAGGTCAAGGCGAAGGTTACCGGGGCACCACCAATACCATTTGGAATGGAATTCCATGTCAGCGTTGGGATTCCCAGTACCCTCATCAGCATGACATAACTCCTGAAAATTTCAAGTGCAAGTGAGTAAATTAGGCAAATGTTATAAGTTTCAGTAGGCTATGGGGAAATGAGGCAGAGTGATTAGTTTTTACTAATTTCTGTGTTAGTGATCCTTAAACTTTAGTGTACCAAGGGATAATCAGGAGTTAAAAGGCAGATTCATCCACCCAGAGATTTTTCCTTAGGTCTGATATTTGGACCTCAAATATGCATTTTAACAAGCACTTTAGGTGATTCTGAGTCAGATGGTTAATATACTGTGATTTGGGAAACACATTTCTAGGTGTCTGATCACAGCTTTGTTCTTGCAGATCTATTTAATAAACCAATTAATGGTAATGATAGCCAGGCAAGTTTCAAATTAGTGCCTTCTTAAGTTTTCATATTAACTTTAGGGGAGATTACATATTTTTTCTCTTACAAGAAGAGGCATACCTTGATTTCATTGAACATTGTAAACTGAGTTTTCAGCCTTGAAACAAAATTATCTTATAATTTTAAATCAATGTTTTCTATTATTTCTAGATTTGCTTTAAAAAGCGGGGAAGTAAAACAATTGTTTAGATGAATCCAGCTGAAGAAACTGCCTTGAATATCAATTATATAGTTGTTATGTGTCTTCTCCATGGCTACTTTTTTTCATCACTTTTGTTGGACAGACACGGCCACAATGCCGTGTGTTTTTAAATTGTCCACCTCGTTATAAGGAACATAAAATAATTGCTTTTGAAATTTATAACACACGTGTCATTCATAGTGGCTTTGCTGAAATAGCATCTATAAATAACATATATTGGCTTTATGTAATTGGCTTTTAATAAAAGAGTTTAACATTTCAAGATGGAGAACTATGAGCACTAGTTGCCCATCCACTAAAGACAGGAAATATTTTATGTTTTTTGGGGTTTTTTTTGGTGAGGAAGATCAGCCCTGAGCTAACATTCACTGCAAATCCTCCTCTTTTTGTTGAGGAAGACTGGCCCTGGGCTAACATTTGTGCCCATCTTCCTCTACTTTATATGTGGGACGCCTGCCACAGCATGGCTTAACAAGTGGTGCACAGGTCTGCACCCAGGATCCCAACCTGCAAACCCTGGGCCACCGAAGCCGTGCATGCAAACTTAACCATTATGCCACCAGGCCGGCCCCTATGTTTTTTTGTTTGTTTGTTTTTGTTTTTTAGTTAATTCAATGTAATTGCTTAGATAGTAAATATTCATCTGTTATGATTTTTTCATTATTTAATAACAACAAATTTATAGTTGTCACTCTGGGTTTATTCCCCACGTTTTCTTTACAGCAATTCACTCTCTATTCCTGACCCATGTGTTTTAGACCTCCAAAATAAATATCAAAGTAGAGAAAGCAAAGAAAATGAGAAAAGAATAGTTAAGAGGAGGAGAGACAGTGTCAGTGCCCTTCACACTTTTTGTTAACATCTGATGATTGGTAGTAGTCAAGTAAGAAATTGTGTATGTGCAAAACCCAAAGAACTGCATCTGTAAGAAAAAGAGAATAATTATAGAAATTTAATCACACATTTCACAATTAAAAATTATCAAAAGTTTAGCTGTTATGTGTTATCAGAATTTAAGCCATCCTTTCTTAATTTAGTTATTTGGTCAAGATAAACAAATATAAATATCAAAAAGCAAAAAATGAGCTGTGTTATAAAACTGATAAAATCTGACAACATTTTGCCCACAAGATTGATACATTTACTATTTGTGGTCTAGCAGAGAATGGTGTGCTGGTAAGGTGGCTCTGGTTGTATTAAACTCTATTTGCCCCAATACTGAGACTCCTTACAAATGACAATTTTTAAAACACTATAACTGAAAATACTACCTGTGATGAATCTACATGAATCATATAATCATTAATTTGTTTTAGTAATTGTAAACAATTCTTCTTCAATTGAAGGGAAAGAAATTAGGAAAAAATATTCAGGTAAACGTTGACTCTCATTCTTGCTTAATCTAGATTAATGAAGTGCTTCTAGATATAGAGTGGGCCTAAACTAAGACTTTCAGTGGCCTTAGATCTCTGTTTAATTATCTTGCCTTAAATTGGCAACTCAGTTTAACTAAGCAATTATTCATCTAAAATTGCAAATTTGTGTAAACTTTATGTTAAAGTCAATGCACATATTTTGTACTGACAAATTTTTAAAGCATAAGTATAAATTGGTTACAAGAAATAAAAGATTTTCTTTATCCTTCCAGTTAATAATTTCATCATTTTATAAGAAGGCTAAAGGCTTGAATATAGGTTATAATTATGAAAACATGCTATACAATGACCTTAACTATTGGCAATCACTGTTCTCATAACCTTAAATAACAGTTTGACTGAATAAACTATTACTTGTTGATTTTATAACCAAACCTAAGCTTTTTCCTTAAAAATTTCTCATTCATAGTGGTCAATTTGGGTATTAATAAAATTGTAGTACTTGTGATTGGACCTAAGTGATAGAAATAATGTAGTTTCCAACAGATTGAATATTAATTTTCTTAAATTATCAGCCAGGGATCTATAAAAAGAAAGTACACACTTGCGTCAAATTAGAGAGCATTTTTCAGGAGAGCAAATCATCAATTCCACATTTTATTTCATGTGAATCTTATATTAAGGTAAAATCCTTTTACCTATAGAGAATATTTGTATACACTTTTTCCTTATTGAGAACTCTAGAAGTCTAATTAAATCACTGGTAAAAGAAAGGCTTTACATGTACTATATTGTCAACTTCTATAGTTAGATCTTCTATATCATAATTAGGCCTTAATTTTGCAGAAATATTTATAAAGATTTCAGGTAACTTCTCTAAATCAAGAAAGAACTACTTTGTATTTAAAAGAAATCTATGCAGCAAATTAAATAAATCAAAGGAATACAGAATTCAAGGAAGAAATAGCTGTCGTGTTTCTTGTGGCAAATGTTTGAATAGGTGGAACTGTCACTTTAAATGAGAGTAGTTAATGACTATTAATAATAGCCTTTCTTCGGCAAAGAGAGATACATGTTGTTTCTACATTATATATGATCCATGAAAACATAATAAATAACAAGCCAGTTTTTAAAAATTGTAACAGTTGAGAGTCCCAATCTTGAGAATGAGTGAGAAGAATGAAATGGTACTGTTTCTTTCATGAAGCAGCAGTGTATGTGTGGAACTCCAGGCCTGTAGAAGAAAAAGAATACTGATATCTGATAGCATTTATTTCAGTAATGTGCACAGTGCCAGTTGTTTATCCTGAATTCTACGTTGTTATAACTACCCTAAATCTAAAGCTTAGAACGCTATTTTGTAGACATGCGTACATTCTGGGATTCTAGAAATGTGATAGCGCTGACTTCACCAATGTAAGAACTGGGGCAATTTACATTAACGTGCTTATTCTCAATAGGGATCTAAGAGAAAATTATTGCCGAAATCCAGATGGGGCTGAGTCACCCTGGTGTTTTACCACGGATCCAAACATCCGAGTTGGCTACTGCTCGCAAATTCCAAAATGTGACGTGTCAAGTGGACAAGGTAATAGCTGACATTTTGCAGTGTGGACATGATTAAGTTCAGAGGAAGTGCCTAAAGGGAGTTCACATTTTACAGCAGAAGATCTACTTCTTCTGCACTGGTTTTGCTGGTTAGCAAAGTCACCGAGTCTGAAGTTGGATTTCTTTTACATATTCATTTGCTCAACATTTATTTATTTATTTGAGTGTATACTAACGACCAGGCACAGTTTCTAGGCACTGGAGGTATATCGGTAAACAAAACAAACTTCTCTACCTCATGGAACTAATTTCCAGCAAACAGAAAACAAGTACAATAAAAAATGGGGGTAGGGATATTAAGTTAGTTTGTGGTATATGCTAGAGAGAAAAATGTCCCAGTTAAAAGAGAAGGGCTGCTATTTTGTGTTTTAATAGTTTGGGAAGATCTTATGTATTAAGGAAACCTGTAAGGAGGACCTGAAAGGAGTGAGGGAGCAGCGTGTGCCATGTGCGTATATTTATAAAGAGCATTCTAGGTTGAGCAAACTGCAAATGAAAGTGACATGAGATGGGAGAGTACTTGAAAAGTTAAAGGAAAGAAACACCACATCGTTGTGGCTGATACAGAATGAGCAAGACAGAGAGTAGCAGGAGATAAGGTTAGAGAGCAATTGGGATGAATTTGCATAGGTCTTACAGGAATTGGAAGGATTTATACTTTTATTCTGAAAGAGAAGGCACTCTGTTGTAGCGTTCTGAGAAGTTAAATGATCTGTCTGACTTAAGTCTTAACTGGACAACTGTGGCTGCATGATGCAAAATAGCCAGAACTTCTGACAAGAGCCAAAACAGGGAAATCAATTGAGTGATTGTTTCAGTAATTCAGGCAAAAGATGAGAGTGATGTGGACGTGTGTATTAGCAGTGGCGATGATGGGTAGCAATGAGGTTTGGGATAAATCACCATTGTGCTTGGAAACATAGACGCCATTGAAGGTAGTTGCTTCAGGGAGCAGCAGTAGAGAAAAGTCAAATTGAAATAGGTTTAAAAAAGAAATCATTTGTCAAAGATTAATAATAATGTTGGGCTCTGGGCATTCATTGGTATGTAATGAAATGAGAGTTATTTTTTAAATAATAATAATCTTTCACATAAATTTATTTATGATGGTAATGGTCATGGGCAGTCCTAAATTATCCTAAAAAGTCTAAGCCAAATTTCAATCTCCGTTTCATAGATTTATTGCCCTATACGTACTTCTTCCATCCTTTAGCTTTTTCTTCAGTGACATTTTTCACGAACAATTCTGAAAACAGTTGTAGAGGGAAGAGAGGATGAGTCCCTTTTCAGTCAATTTCACTGTTCTTTGGCAGATTTTAAAGGTCAATTGGAAACAAAGTTGAAACCAACGATTAAGGGAGGTTTGGTACCATCTGGGTCTTCTTTGTCTCTGTCTTGTTCACTTAAACAATTACTGATAATTTCTGAGTGATAGAGGCAAATGAGAACAATTGTTTTATAAACTTCTGGTGTGTCTTAAGATGCTTTTACGTATAGTCATGTGCTGCATAACGACATTTCAGTCAAGGATGGACTGCATATACGACAGTGGTCCCATAAGATTAGTACCATATAACCTAGGTGTTAGTAGGCTATACCATCTAGGTTTGTGTAACTACACTCTATGATGTTCACACAACAATGCAATCGCCTAACAATGCATTTCTCAGAACGTATTCCCATTCTTAAGTGACACATGACTGTAGATAATTATAAAAGTATAATTATCAAGGGAGAAATAACCATTGAAGCAGGAAAATTAGAAAACATAAGAGATTATTTTATACAACCTCATGTAAAAAACTTTGAAAATGAAAATGAAATGGGTAATTTACTAGGAAAATTCCAGTTATTGGAATTGATCCTGGTAAAGAAAAAAAACCTTAAGTAGAATAATTTCTATAAAAGAAATACAGAAATTTGTTAATGAACTATTCCACCAAAAATACACCAGGCTTAGATGCATTCACAGACCAGATGATCTCAATGCTACATAAATTGCCCTGTAGCTTAACAAATACAATAAAACTTCCAAATAATTTTTATGATGAAATTATAATATTTATATCTAAACATGATAAAGATAGCACAGAAAAAAAAACTATGGAATTATCTCATTTGTGAATATTAATATAAAAATCCTAAATGAAATTTGAGTAGAAAGTCTAATAAAGAAATTAGAAAATAATACGTAATGATTGAGTGGAGTTTAGTCTAAGAATAAAAATGGTTCAGTATTAGAAACTCATTAACATAATTCATCTTAGATATGAGAAAAACAATCATATAATAAATCTCAACAGATTTTGAAATTCTTGTGACAACATTCACCCATTCCTCATAAAAGTACTCAAATAAGAATTTATAGAATATGTACACATACATATCCATATATCTATATCTATATAGAAAGAGACTTCTTTGACATTTATATTCGCATTTTAACATGTAAATATATAGACATACACAGATGCTCCCCACACACATATTATATATATGGGTATACATATATGTATTTCAGTCATAAAACCACCACTTACTTGATGGGGAAACATTAGAGGCATTCTTACTAAGGTCAGAAAGAAAATAAGAATGCCTACTATCTTCTCTACTACTTAACATTGTAAATATAAGTTAACATTTTATTTCTCTTTAACATTGAATTGGAGATATTATTCTATATGATTAAATAAGAAGGCATATTGATTGGGTAAAAAAGCAAAAGATCTCTTTTTATGCAAATAATATGATACTACTATACTTGAAAAACTGAATTCAAATAAAAAAATTCACTAAGGTAGCAGGATATACAATTAATATACACATATCAATGGCATTCATATATGGGTTTGAAGATCTAATTAAAGAGAAAACTGCATCCATAATAGCAGCAAAACTGGTGGAAACTTAAAATTGACTTAGAAAGAAATGCATAAAATCTATGTGATAAAAATTTTAAATTACTCCTGAAAGCCACAAAAGTGTACTTTAACATTTAGAAAAACATCTCTTGTTCTTGATATAACTCAATATCATAAATACATCAAGATTATACCTAAGCTAATTTATATATTTAATGTGATATTAATAAATAGATCAACAAATCTTTTTTTGATACCAAACAAATTAATTCTAAAGTTCTCCTGGAAGAATAAACATATAAGTATACTAAGGAAAACCTTGAAAAGGAAGAATGATTAGAAGTAATTAACTCTGTCAGATATTAAAGTATTTTATGAATAGTTTATAATTAAAAGAGTGTAGTTCTAGCACATGAATAAATTTACAATTGGAACAAAACACCAAGTCCAGAAATAGACTGCTTACTGAGATTTTTTTATATTAAAAATTGTGGCACTATATATCACTGAGTGAAAAATGAACTTTTAAAATATAATAATGGGTCAACAAGGTAAACATTTGGAAAAATGATAAAATTAAATCCAGGCCTCATACCATACCAGAAAATAAACTCAAAATGGTTGAGATCTAAACATAAAAAAGGAAACCATGTAGATACTAGAAGTAGACTTGGAAGAATGCCTTTATAACTTAGATGTGGCAAAATGCTTTCTAACTCTCAAAATCTAGAGGCAATAAAAGAAAAAAAATTATAAACTACATCAGAAACCTATCATGGCAAACAAAAAAAATAAACAAACCCACCATATTTAAATTCAAAAGACAAATGACAAATTGGGAAATAAGTTTTGAAATGCCTATCACAGATAAAGAGAAAATATTTTTAATACATAAAAACTCTGAAATTGAAAAATAAAAGACCAAAAAAATTAAACAATGGACAAAATACATGAACAGAAAGATATCTAAAATAAAGTATATAAAAATTCACTTAAACACATGAAATTATGCTTCAATTCACATGTAACAAGAGAAAAGTAAAATATAAGTATTGAGATTTCTTACAATATGAGACTTACATTTCTCACATATACATTTGCAAAAATTCAACAGCTTGACAACACCATCTTTTGACAAAACTATATGAGGAAAGGAACTCACACACATTGCTTAGGAGTGGAACAAAATTTTACAATAATTAATAAAATTACATAGGCATTCACCTTTTGGCCCAACAATGCTCTACCTGAATACACAGCTCCAACAATATGCAAAAACATATGCAGGGGTTTTTTATTGCAGCATTTTCTGTAATAGCAGAACATACTATTCTGACACAGCCACACAATAGAATACTGGCACAGCTACACAATGGAATACTATGAATTCGCAAATAGAATGATTCTGGCACAGCCACACAAGAGAATACTATGAATTCGCAAAAAGAATGCTAAAACTCTCCATGAACTAATGTGGAGTGATTTTCAGGTACATTGTTAATTAAAAAAAGAAAAGCAAGGTACTAAATTATGTATCTGGTATTCTACTGGTAACAAACGGATTTACTACTAGTAGTAAAGAATGGGATACAATAATACATATATAGAATGTATATACAAATGATTTGCATGTTAATATTGTATATATTTGTGTGTGTGTGTGTGTGTGTATATATGTATATATATAGGCTTAGTTTTGCTAGAAACTAAAGAGAAGAAAACACACAGAAGCCATAAACAAGAAACTAATGGGGGCTGGCCCTGTGGTGCAAGTGGTTAAGTGCGTGCGCTCTGCTGCAGCGGCCCGGGGTTCACTGGTTCGGATACCGCGCACGCACCGATGGACTGCTTGTCAAGCCATGCTGTGGCGGCATCCCATATAAAGTGGAGGAAGGTGGGCATGGATGTTAGCCCAGGGCCAGTCTCCCTCAGCAAAAAAGAGGAGGATTGGCAGATGTTAGCTCAGGGCTGATCTTCCTCACAAAAAAAAAAAGAAACAAACTAATGAAATTGGTTATTTGTAATGGTGGGTAGTGGGTAGAAATATAAAGACAGAGGCAAAGGGAAAATGAGAATTCTCTGAGTACAGTCTTTCATATATTTTTGACTATTAACCGATATTAATATTTTAAATATTCAAAAGTGACCTCAAAAAAGATAGAAGAAAACAGAAATGTGCCTATCTGTATATAAATGGATACCGTTACTACAGAGAAGGAAAAAAAGATCTGAATGACTTTTGGATACAATTTTCTGACTGTTATAGCCTCATTAGGATATATTTAAGGAAAAATAATTTTAAATACATTTTGAACTTTAAAGTGTAAGTTTGTTGTTAGTATTAGGATGTAGCAGCTTTGAAATTATTTTGTATGCATTGTAGAATTGAGAAAATGAGCAAACATATTGATGTTATCTGGAATCAGGATTTTAATCGTGGGAGAAAGGAAAGAACACATGAAACGGAGGAGAGGAAGAACTCTGTGGTGGTGGATTGGAGTTAGAGGAATCAGTAGTTACTCTGAAAACACACACACGCACACACACATGCACATACACACCCACGTTGCCTAGCTCTGTTAAATGAAAAGGGCTAGAAACGATGGTACCAAATAGCAATGAGCACACCTAGCACCCACTTCTGTCTTCTAGTTGCCTTTCATCGCTAAAATAAACAAGGGCTCCTTGGAGAAATTGATCGTTCCAGGCCTGGGGCAAGAAAAATACAAGATGAGGCTGGAATATTTTTTGCCAGCAAGTTAAGAAGTGCTCAGAAATTCATGTCTTCCTGTCAAAAACCCATAACCCAAATGTAATCACGAGGAAAACATCAGACAAACTCATTTGATGGATATTCTACAGAATACTACACCAATTCTCCTCAAAACTGTCAAGGTCGTCAAAAAAGAAAGTCTGAGAAACTGTTACATCTAGAAGAGCCTTAGAAAACATGATGACTAAATGTAATATGGTATCATGTGGGATCCTAGAACACAAGAAAAGGATATTAGGTAAAAACTAAGAATATTTAAACAAAATATTGTCTTCAGTTAAGATTAATACATCCATATAGTTCAGTAGTTGTGACAAATCTATCATACTAATGTAAGATGTTAAAAATAGGGTAAACTGTGTTGGCAATTTGTATCAACTTACAAATTTTCCTTAAATTATAATCTAGCTGGTAGCCCATATTCAAATAAAAGGTGGTAGTGGTGAGGAGGATCTCTTCCTCCAACACAGAAAACATAGAGGTAAAAAACAAAAATGTATAAAAAAGCAGTACCAATATACTACATTACACAATTGCTTTCTTCAGTAAGATCCTATCTAAAGAATTTACTGCCTACCAGTTTAAACTTTCCTAATACAGAAAGAAGAAAAGCATTGTCAGAGGAAAATATTTTAATTGGTATATTCTACATATATTCAAGTATTGGATTTTACAAGTTTATGCTTTCTGAAAACAATTTTATTGTGTACTGTAATGACTGCTGTATTATCTGCATCAAATCCTATCTTGTTTCAGTTTTTATAATTTAGCTCAAATTCCTTATAGTGTTATTGCAAAATGTGATCCATGGATACAAAAACATGACTATTGAATATACTTATTATATTACTTTTTCACTATGTTAACTGATTCCTGAACAAATTATTATTCATTTAAAAATTTTAGTAGGATTTGTACCTATTATTTATTATAATCACATAGCGTATTAAAACCAATGACAATATACTATAGTTTACCAAGTTTAAAGCAGAGAATAATCTTAACATTGATGTACATTTGTAGATAACATTTTATAGTCAAATCTACAGTTTTTATTCATTTAAAAATTAGGAATGTTTAATAGTCACTTTTTAATTATGCAGTATTATTTCAAAATATGGAATGGTGTTTCTTTTCAAATGTAGAACTGCAATTTACATATTTGGAATAATACTTCTTTATACGATTTTTAAAAATTAAGAATATGGACACTTATCAATGTTTAATAGAATACAAATTGCTCAATTAAAAAAAGTGGGACATGATAAAAGACACAGGATCCAGTTTAAAGTGGCTTCTATTGGCTAAATTTGGAAATATTTAAGCATCAAAATGAACAACAGGAATAGATTACATATCACAGTGAATAAAAAGACAATGCGTGTGTCCATATTTATACTACTGCTTCTACTACTAGCATTAGTATTACTACTACTACCACTGCTACTACTACTAGTAGTAGTAGTAATACTTAGATAGAAGGAGTAGGGGAGAAGGAAAAACTGTCATTTACAGAAGAATGACAACTGATAGATAAAGAAATGTAGGAAATGGAAAAAATAACTATTTTAAAACCAGTGCATGATTCATGCACAGTTAATCAACGTATGCCTAAGCCATTTTGTGAAAATTTATTTGGCAATAGGATGTTTACTCAGTCTCAAAGTCCCCAACAATTTTTTATTGTTGTTTATATGAAGATAAGTTTTTCCTTTACACCGCTTAACCAAATTATCCAACTCACCACCAGTAATGGAACAAACTGACATCACGTATCACATGACATAACGGTCTGAAGAGGCCACAATATCACCCAGCAATGTTCTTGTCTTTGACTTGACTTTACTCATGAGAAAAATAAAAATGAAATTAAACAGCATTTGCAAAACAGCTGGCTTGTATGACTCAGAACGTCTATTTCATAAAAGACAAAAATCAAAACACAACGAATGTGATGAGTATATGAGTGTTCATTATATCATTCCTGTGACTTTTCTGTGGAGTAAAATTTTTCAGAACAAAACGTTGGGAAATATATATGTCATTCTAAAAGTTCTCATTTCTTTGGTGTCCCTAGTAGCCACTTATTTAATTTTTCTTCGATTTTTTTAAATTTGTAATTTGATGCATAAACTCTCACTTGAATGAGGAAGAAATTTGGCTAAAAATGAAAATACTTTAATCCAAGATGTTTAAATCGCTTTGATTTGTACAGATTTCAGAGTGCTTGGTTTTAATTTATATGTTGATTTTCATGAATTCATATGCTTGTAAAAATGTTTTTGTTCTATACTTCCTAGTATTCATCAGTTTTCTTTCTATACTTTTTATGTTTAGATTGTTATCGTGGGAATGGCAAAAATTATATGGGCAATTTATCCAAAACGCGATCTGGACTAACTTGTTCCATGTGGGACAAGAACATGGAAGACTTACACCGGTGTGTCACTTTCTTTCTTTCAATATATAGTATGTAGTGATGACAGCAGAGAGGTATATTGAGCTGTGTACAGTGCTATTTCTTTCTATTCTTTTATATATCATGGTAACCTAATAAAAACGTTAGGTTGATTATTCTGTGCAACTCAATTTAACATTTTCTTTCTATGTAGCAAACTTTTAAATAAGCAATTCAATCCCATCACATATTTATTGAGCATTTACTACGTGTTCTGCTCTGTGATAGGTGCCACTGGGAATATTAACAAAAAGTAAGCATACATTTTGGCTCCACCTTTAAGGAGGATATGCTCATATTGAGAAAACAATTACATAACTTGATAAGACAATGTATAATTAAGTGTCAAATCTAATGTTTCAAATAGTACATTATATGATTATGTGCTCATAATTAATTATTAATATTAATTCATGAAAAATCAATAAGTGACCATATTTTAATAAGTGACCATATGTTATATATTCACTTTACTAAAAACTTAAAGAGACAGATTTCCTTGTATAGCTTTATTTTGACACATAAAATTTCTATAATTAAACAAATGTATATGTAACTTAAATATCCATAGATATCAGGGAATTAGGTAATTTGACATTGGATATATTTAGAGAAAAAGAAGTTATCTTTCACTTGACTCTAGCAATATTTCTAGTGTGTTTGAAATTACAAAAGAAGTATGAGATATAGTTATGACATAAAACAGATTTTTAGTAAATATCCCAGAATATACGCACTAGAATAAAAGAAAAAAAAAGTGTCATTTGATCAAGTACCTATAGCATGGTTGCTTTACATGAGTTGTTATTTCATTTGACCATCACAATCCTTTGAAATATTTCTGCATGTGTGAATAAGAATTAAGGGCTCAGAGAGTTTTAGTTGTTTTGCCTCCAGTCCTCCTTTAACTTTAAAGCCTTTATTCTCTTCTAAAATATACTTAGTAGTAGATGATATTGTTTCAATTAATTTGCTTCAAAGCAAATAGTGTTAGTTATAAAGCAGTGCTCTCTAACATAAATACGCGATTCACGTATGTAAGCCACCCATGTACTTCAAAGTTTTCTAATAGCCACTTTTAAAGAAGTAATTATTTTTAATAATATATTTTTATTAATCCAATATATCTAAAACTTTTTCATTTCAATATATATTATAAACATGAAAATTATTAATGAGATCTTTTACATTTTTTTCATATTAAATCTTCAAAATCTGATATATATTTACAATTATAGCACCTCTTAATCTGGACTAGCCACATACCAGTTTCTCGGTAGCCATCTGTGGCTAGGAGGTACGGTATTAGACCCTGTAGCTCTAGCACTTCAAAGACAAGCAGAAGTCTGCCCTCATGGATCTCACACTCTGGAATGCCAGCAAACAGAAAATGCCAGTACCATATTATAAAAATCATGAAAAATAGCATATTTTATGCTATGGGAATGCAAAGAAGTGACTCAGACTTAGATGGCCGGAAAGGCTTCTTAGAGGAAGGGGCATTAGCTGGGACATATGTGATAAGTAGGAGTTGGTCAAAGGAAGTGCAGGAGGAAGAGTACATCAGGCAGAAGGAATAGCTTGTCCAAAAGCCCAAAGATTGATGTATTTGAAAATAGAAACAATTTTGGAAAGGTTGAAACGTAGTGTAATTTGGTCAATGTCCACAGAAGAGGAATTCTCCAGTGGCAAGACCACATAGAGCCCTGTAAGCTGTGTTAAGAAGTTTAGATTTTATCCTTAGAATTAAAAGGATTCATTAAAGAATTTTAAGCAGGAATTGGCATGATTAATATTAAATGCTGTTTTCAACACTGATATTTTTAAAAGCGTTTTTGGAAATATGGTGGGTTGGATCTAGCTCTTACAGACTTATGACAGACAGTTGTACCAACTCTGCCTTCAGTGATTTCACGTTGGAAACTTGATATTTTTATGGTGGAATTATTTACACTACAAAAATCAGCAAGGGTAACAAATAAAGACTCCCACCAAGCACACCTCAAAATGCCAATTGTTAAACATTTACTAGCATACTGCTGGAAATATGTGACGTATTTATTCAGGAACCACGATGGTTATAACTCAATTCATTGAGTTTAGGTTTAACTTTTGGAAATAGTTAAAAGTCATTTGGAAATAATTTGTAGTAAATTGATGAATGATTAAGTTGCATGGTACCATTTTGGTTTAAGAACAAACTATGACTGAATAAGGAGGTAGTACAGCATGGTGGTTTTGAACATTGACTCTGGAAAGAGCCGTGTGTTCAAACCCCTGCTCTACTGCTTACAAGCCATGTGACCTTAGACAAGTTAATTGTCCTCTGTGGATTTCAATTTCCTCAGATATAAAATAGCATAATCTTAAAGCCTGTCTCATTTGGTTGGTCTCAGGTTATAGTATATGTAAATCACATATAATAAAATCTGGCACGTAGTAAGTACTACATGTACTTCCCGTCCAGAAAATGAACTTCCTGTCCAGAAAATGAGTTTGCAAAGATGCTTCAAGTTTCCATATCCAAGCTCTTCACAATTTTTTTTGTGTGTGTGTGAGGAAGATCAGCCCTGAGCTAACATCTGCCAATCCTCCTCTTTTTTTGCTGAGGAAGATTGACCCTGGGCTAACATCCATGCCCATCTTCCTCCACTTTATATGGGACGCCGCCACAGCATGGCTTGCCAAGCGGTGCTTCGGTCCGCACCTGGGATCTGAATTGGCGAACCCCTGGCCGCCGCAGTGGAGTGCGCGCACCTAACTGCTTGCGCCACCAGGCTGGCCCTCTTCCCAATTTTTTTTAATGACATATTAATTACATTTGAGCATGGTAGTGACTAATAATACAAAACAAATTCAGTTAGGTGTATAGTTTTCTTTGACTTGGTCAGGATGGCCATGTGGAATTTGACGTTATTAATGTTCGTGGAGTAAATACAAATATTGAAGTTATATGAGTGGGCATGGTCTTATAAAATAACACACAATATTTTTGTTTTTATTTTGTAATAAATTTAGTTAAGGTGTAAAATGAGAAAGGCTGAAGTGTTAGTTATCTGTCAAAAAATCATATTTTGTAACTATGTGACCAGTGAAATTTTAGAATTTAATTATTTCATTAGCACATTGTTATGAATTTTCAGTGTATGTGCCTGTACTTCGTCCTGGTGATGTTGCTAGTGATGATTCATATGTTTCTAACACATGAAAAAAAATACTTTTGCAATAGCTTTTATTTTCTATTATTTTATAACCTTGATCTTTGTCATCTGCTCTTTTTTTGGCAGTATGTCTCCATTTCTATGCACAGGGGTATTGTTACTTTGCCACTATAATTATTAAATAGAAGCAAAGCTACAAAATCTTTCATCATTTTATCTATGCTAATTATGCAGCCCTGTCCCATATTCCTGAGTTAGAGACCATGCTTCCAAACTGTAAAAACAACAAGAAAATAAATCTCAAACAAAATAAGTCAAATTCATGCCAAGTAGAAACTTGTGTTGTATCTACAATGAAAGTTATGTGCTAAGATTATATCTTCTTGGTGACATTTTGTTTCTCTTGGACAAAATGAGCATCTTGTGATGTTCAGAGTTTGTTGTTTATGCAGGCACATCTTCTGGGAACCAGATGCTAGTAAGCTGAATAAGAATTACTGCAGGAATCCTGATGATGATGCTCATGGTCCCTGGTGTTACACAGGGAATCCTCTCATTCCTTGGGATTATTGCCCTATTTCTCGTTGTAAGTACATTTAGTAATCTTTTTCAGGTGGAATATTTTAAATATACCATGTCTCCTCTAAATTGATACCTTAATCACTGGTGGAAATAATATAGGAGGGCTGGAGATGATCCCAAAATGAAGATGCACTCCAGACAGCAACACACACACACACACACACACACACACACACACCTTTTTTCATCTCTCCTCTAGACAAAGAGACATTCTGCTGACCTTTTAAAGAAGATTTTCCTCCTTCTGAAGATTCTCATTTGGAACCCAGAAGCAATAAATGGCCATGGTTCTAGTATGACTGGGCTAAAAAGACCTCCCCCTCCTCCCCCACACCAATACTACCTGTTCAGCCTCTGAATGTAGCAGAGCTCTCAGCAAAGTCCCGGCCCACTAATAGACCCATGAATGGACCTGAGATAGTGGTGCTTCTATGTTCTTCTCCGTTCTTTAGCCCAAGACTAGGAAGCCTGGAGCATTTTATCCATTTCTCTGAACCCAAGATGATTTTGTTAAAAGGGTTTAGTGTGTAAAGTAAAAGATATATGTAAAATATATGTGTGATATACTTTATATAAAAGAACTTCTATATATCAATAAGAAAAAAATGAGATAATTCAGGAAAAAAATGAAGAAAATGAATCTTCAAGAATAAATATAACAAACAAATGAAAAGATATTAAAACTTATACTAAAAAGTGAAATGATAAAAGCATAAGAAATCATTTCCACCTATCAGGTTGGAAAATAAGAAAATGATTGTTAATGCCCAATATTAGTGAGGGCCTGGGTAGTCAGGCTCTCTCAATTCTGTGCTACTTTATGAATTGGAAAGCCTATTTAGAAGTCAGTGTGGGGAAATGTATGAGGATTTTTCAACCTTGGCACTACTGACATTTTGTGCTGGATAAATCTTTGTTGTGGGAGGTTGTCCTGTACATTATAAGACATTTAGTACCCACTAGATGTCAACGGCACCACCCTCCCTCCAGTTACGACAATCAAAAGTATCTCCAGACATTGCCAAATGTCCTCTGGGGGGCAAAATCACCTCCACTGAGAACCGCTGATGTAGAGTAATATATATTGAGATGGGAAAAGATCCTCAATATGTTATTGAGTGAAAAAGCCTTGTTGCAAAGCCGTGTCAATAGCAAGAGACCGTTTTACTACACTACATATCTTGTAGCTCGATGTTTATAGCAAACATCTTTAAACATTATGTTAAACTACCTTCTTGTTAAAAAAGACATACTTTTGTAAGTCCAATAAGAGTACCATTTTAAGAATTTTTTTCTTGTGAGACAAGCCAGTAGCAAGTATCTTGAAAACAGCAGCAAAAATACCCACTTTAAAGAGAGAGCTTAGGTTGAAGAAATGATGTTTGCTTTAAAACATGAAATACAAACACGTCTATATTTTTCCAAAATTTACGTTAAATTAAGAGAGAATTGTACTTTAAGTGGAAACAGAGTCATGTTTCATGAAATTTTAACATAAAAAGGCAAACTTCTTAAATATGATGTTAATCAAGTATATCTATAGTTCACTTGAAATTTCTCAACCTACTTTTAATAAAGAAATTGTCTATAATAATAAATAAAACCTTATGTGTTTGCTAAAAATTGTATTTCATATTATTATATTTTATTTCATCTATAATAACAGCCTTTCAAATTAGTGTTTTCCTAATGTCCTTCTACTTTTCCCATATTAGAGTTTGCATAGGTCCTAAAAATGTTCTTCTATGGAAAATACTTTTCAAGTTTTAACACTAAAACAAACAAGCAAACAAATGTACCTCTCTGGCACACACAAAAAATTTTTAATGGTTAAATGATTATAGTTTCTAAATATTGATTCAACTTCACGGTACCTTTTGTGAAGTCTCTGTGATGAAGAATAATGGAGGCTAATAGAATATCCAGTGATCTAGGAAGAAGGAAGAAAGTCAATGATCTGGCTTCTAAAACATGATCTTTTGCTTTCTCTACAAGATTCCAGGTTTGTAAAAATCATAGTAGCTTAATTTTAGCACATAGATATAGTTAAGAGTAAAATGCTTCTGTAGAATATCAGGGAACTGTGACTTGGTTTATAAATTTAACTAATACAAGACTCTAATAATTTAAAAGTTTTCAAAATATATTTTCAACTAACATTTTTAAACTAAAAGTTAGTAATGTGCTTTGAAAGACTTCAGGGTGTTGCTAGTATTTGATTAAATGCTATTGCAGATAACTCATTTTTATTTCAATGTATTCTGAACATTAATTTCAATAAATATTTTTACACTGTCATTTTTCTAACTAATATTTATATCCAGGATTTATTTACATTTTCCTGCTGGTGAAAGGCTAATAAAATTTATCTTTAGAAGATTTGAGTTCTTATTTATTTAACTGCAGAGACTGTATAAATCATTTTCATACTATACATTTGTATTACAAAACATGTAAAGGTTTTTATTGCTTTTTAAAAAATGCTTACAAAATAATATTTAACATATATTTTTAAGATTATCAAATATGCAAAAATAAAACTGTAGAAATGTGTATATGTTTGTACGTATACACACTTAGTATGTTTTAGAAAAATCTTAAGTATTAACTACTGAGAGTGTAGTGGTTAAGAGCTTCAACCTTGAATTCCTGGGTAAAAATTCCAGCTCTATTGCTACAAGTGCCTTGAGCAAGTTACTTCTATCTCAGTTTGTATTTATTTATTCATTTATTAACAATTTTAAATTGAGCTGCTATTGTGTGCAAAGCCATATATAACATGCTAGGTCTACAACAATATAAACAATGTTTCTTACCCTCAAATAGTTTTCAGGGTAGAGAGGAGACATTTATGTAAATTATTGCAAATATAATCATTTAATAAATATTTTAATATTAAAATATATAAAGAGGTTGGGAACATAGCTGTCTGCCTGGAAAAATATGTGATGTTCACACAGTTTTGAACTTGAGTTGAAACTTTAAGAAAATGTTAAAAGAAACGTTTCTTCATGTTTTCAGTAAGAGTTCGTGTTTGGTTCTGAGGCCGTATAAACACACACACACTTAACGTACTCTTCCATAGGTAAAACTTTTATCAGTGACACGTTTTCCTTCTTCAAATTTAAGTTAAATCAATACAGATATCAAGATTTTTATCGAATAAGATTTGTATCATATGTATTTTTTCAGATTTGAGTACTGTTGTGGAGATAGTGAGGGAAAAGTAAAGAGAAGTGAGAACGGTACTTGACAGTAAAATGGAAAAGGCCTAGAGAGCAGTTTCTCTCAAAGTTTTGCTCAAAGTGTGCAAAAGAAGAACCTGAAATGTTTTTTCAAAATTCATAATCTAGCCACCAACCCAGAATCTCCAGAAATATAATTTTAAATGGTAGTCCAGCTTAAAGTGTGAGAAATATTTGCTGAGAGGAAATTATATGTATAACTTATGTTATAATTAATATAACTATTAATTATTAAAACCCCAAATTTACAATATCTACAAATTTTTAAAACTTGAAATATTTTAGTAAGGTACAATACTGAACTAAGTACTCTGTTGACCTATTAACTTGATGCTTAGAAATAGGAAACTTGATATGCAATTAAGGATAGAATGAATAGTCTAGTCTTTCTCATCACAACATAAGGAATAAATATTTCATTTTTTATTTTAGAATTCTCAAGTAATTGACTTGAGTGGAAAAACCAATATCCTTGGTGTTTTAATGACCAAAGTCGGCCTCAATCTTAATTTGTACTGTGAACTAAAACACCGGCCTCAGCTAAGACAAAACCCTCCCCCAGGATAAGCTAAAGGGAAAGAGAAATGATGAAATTTATATGTTTGCATTTACCCTTATTCATTTAAAATACCTAGATCTGGAAAATGAACATAAATAAAACCTTTTAACATGTATTAAGTCTCTTGAGATTCACTATAAATAACAATCAAATTTGCATCTATTACAAAGGAATCCATATGCCATTACTGTTTTGTTGCTGGTTTATCTGAGCTCAGGGCATTTCCAGGGATTAGAAACCAGCTGGGTCTAAACAGTGCCTGACTAAATTCTATGCCATCAATTCTGAACAGTCAGACATTAAACTCCAGGAAATGTCTTGTACCTCATTCATTACTACATAAGTATTTTCAAATCTTAACATCTTCCAAGCTTTTCTCTTTGCAGCAATTAAACCCCAGTAGGAAGGTTATGAAAAAAGAGTAAGTTATGAGGTTTTAGTTAGAGTTCAGTTGCAGTTTCCAATGTTCTCTTTTGTCCATACTTTTCGTTACCATCTGGAAAAACCAATCTTTGAGATATTCTAACAAAACATAATTATATTTTGTTATCCCTCTTTTTCCATTAGTAATGTTGATTTCTATCTTCTAGAATTCTTGAAGAGTTTTCTGAAGCATGTGAAGTTTCAATTACCCTCAACCATGTAAAAAAATAAAAGTAATTTTCAAAAAAAATATAAATGGGCCAAATTACAGTAAAAAAAAAAAAGGTCTATCTATATGAATAGCCCAAGCAAACAATAATAAACATTAGTCTTATTCAATGAAATGTTCATTGTGTACAGTGTTGGGCACTTGGTAGAATGAGGCTGCTCCTTGACACCAGCAGTGTAATTCAAGCTGCCAACACTCATTAAACCACACACCTGAGAGCATCCACAGTCATAAAACAGAGCTTTCCTCACATCATCCACCACCAGTAGGCATGTACCTTCAATATTGCTCAGTAAAAGTGATACATAATTACTCGAGTACATTATTATATTTTATCTTTGAATAAAATGTCAAGAATTTTAGTAAATTTTCCAATTCATGGATATTTGAATTTCAATATATGGCTTTGATTCTATATAACAGAAATATGTATGTATGAATTATGTATATTTTATATATTTATTTTTTCAGGTGAAGGTGATACCACACCTACAATAGTCAATTTAGACCGTAAGTAATCTTTCAAAATATATAGTATATTTGAGTCTGTATGTGTCAGAAAAGATGTCATTATTTCTTCATAGAAAAATATCACTCTATTAACTCTTGTCATAAAAATAAGTTAATCTATTTGTTTTTATTTTTTTAAAAATTTTTTCTATATGCATGTATACAGAAGTTACAAAGACAACTGCATACTGAATGTCAAAATTCAATTCTCTATCAGAAAATGTATGATATATTTCACTTTGAAAAGAACATTTATATTGCTTTTAATTTTAGGCAAAATGTATATAATGGACCTCAACTATCCTTTATATTAAATCAGGATGCTAGAGTCAGAAAGAATGAAACCAGAAGGTTGGAAAGTTATGCAGTGTCTCTCTCCTGCTCTATCTTTAAAGCTCTTTGCATGCTCTACCAGGCAAAAGATGACACAATCTGAGAGGTTCAGTTAATCCTCAGCTTAAGAAAATCTGTTGGGAGCTGCTTGTTTTTGATTTTCACATATTTCTTGGGCTGAAGGAAATTACTCAAGTGTTTTGATTTAAGAGACCACCTGCTGTGCCCCAGGCTGAAGAAGCAAATGGAAATCTATTTTAGACCATGGACCGGAGTAGAAAGGATAAGGCAAGGAACACAGAGGAGGGTCAGGAAAAAGTTTACTCCAAAGAATTCTGCATTATGTCATTTAGATATAATAATTTGGACATAATAATTATGTCATTTGGATACAATTTCAATAGATATAATGTTGGTAGCATTTCAAAATTGCTCTATATTCTTACTGTACAAATTCAGAAGTAATAAATGAAATATAGTTTTGTTTTTTTTCCCACTCAGGTTATTTATTTCCATTGGCATTTAGAAAAAACCAGTATAAGTAATATTGTTCCATTTTATGTTGAGGTGGTGAGGGAAATGCAATTAGTGTTAGACCTGAAGAATTTGTACTTAGTGCTCGGAGAGCAAAGCCGCTGTCACTATCCTGGGAATGCTGTTGACCTTGAGTTGGTTAGTTTTTCTGTCTACCTAGATGAGGACAGAAAACATTTTGGGCCTGATTTGGCACTGTAGCCATAATATTTACCTTTTTTTCCCCCCCAAAATGTTCTTCTGACACAATTACAGTAGTTACATTTGTCTAGTTACCATTGCATTTAAGAAAACTGAGAGGCACTGATTATTTCAAAATGTTTTGTCGAAATGTTATGTTTGGTTCTCTTTTTAGATCCTGTAATATCTTGTGCCAAAACAAAACAATTGCGAGTTGTAAATGGAATTCCAACAAGAACAAATGTGGGGTGGATGGTTAGTTTGAAATACAGGTAATTATTAGTAGACACAAATCATGTGTATTTGGATTATTTGCAAAACTCATTTCCCGGCAGTATGGCCATAGGTGATCATGCAGGTTGTGCTGTCCACACGGGCACCCATCTGAGGGTGGCACAAGAGGGGACTGATCACATAATGCTTGCCAGACAGCCCTGGCTTTTGCAATTTGTACCTCCAGATATATGCCTTTTTAAATGTTCACAAAAGTCCCATATGTGTTGGCATTGTCCCCGATTATAAGTGACACTTCAGTTCTGATTAAGCAAAAGACAACCACACAGAGAACCTACTTATACTTTGGTATCACCATAGTAGTTATAATATATATGTTATTAACTTCACAATCTAGGATATTATGATTTTAATTTCTACATACCTGTGCATAATCGCATCAGAAATTGTTTTTAATTTCTGACTTTTTCATTGTCATTCTAATGAAAAATGGCAATAATTTTAAATTCTAGAATATTTTATCATTAAGAAAAAATTAGCAAACTATATTGATAGTGGAATAGTCTTGCTATTATGATATTCGGTGTGGATAAAAAATTCTTGACATAGTTCTCTAAGCTCTTAAGAATCAATGACGTTCAATTTTTTGCAAAATATATTGTTATACAAAAATTGAGCTTAGTAATTATGTCGTGAGAATTAAATATTAAAAGTAGGAGTTGACTTAAAATCTGATCTTACAACTTTCTATACGCTACATATGTTATACCGTATGGTAATCAGAACATTTGTCTATATTCATCTCTATTGGAACCTCTTCGTGAAACATACCCCAAAATGCACCTGAATTCTTGCCACCTTTTCCCTTGTTTTCAACAACCCATGTTTCCCCTTCTCAGCCTTTGTGCTGTTGTTCCCACTGTATGTTGAAGCTTTCTTCCTCCATATTTTATGCCTGGAAAATCTTTCTCATTCTTCAAACACCAACTCAAATATCTCCTCTTTTTGGAATCCCTCCCCTGTTCCTTTACCTCGAGCCTCCTAGAATAGACAAAGAAAGTATATCTTTTACTACAATTAAATCACAGTGGCATTAAAGTAGAATAGAGACAACTTGAAACTGAAGTTTTTTATGAATAAGCCAATTCTTAGCAAGTATGAAGTTTATATCCTTTGATATATGTATATTACTTTAAATACCAGGTAGAAGATGGCCTAAAGTTCTCTTTTAGTATGTCCTTCTTTCAAGGAGTAACTCATCAACTTTTATAAATATTTATGTCAATAATTGTAGTATAGCTGTCCTCAGTGTGTAGTACTAAAATAGAATTGTGAAACTCACCAGAATATTAAAGCTGATTGTGCAATATAAAGCTTTAATGAAGGCTATAAAATTTCGGGGGAGTGTTTCATATTCTTTATTATAGAAAATGTTCCAAGAATCCACATCTCTGAATTAGTGATTTTTTGCAAATCTTATAACTCCAGAAAAAAAAAAGAGGCATATACTTTGAATTTATTGTTACCAATAGGAGAAGGTACAAGGATACTCCTCTGGAATTCTCCATCCTTGGAGAAGGAGGTGAAACTATTTTTCATTAGATCAGAGTACTATAAACTTTTAGAAAAAAATATTTTTCCTTTTAAATCCAAGTTCTTAGTAACAACAGCTGTTTAGTTATTCATCCAAAACACATACTGAGAGAAATAGAAATTCAAACTCGATATATACTCTTAACCTCCTGTGTGGTACAGGCCATAAATAACTGTGGTCTTAGCCTGGGAATCTTCTATTGCCCTCTGAATCACTGAACATCTGTACTCTTTGGAAATGTAAATTGTGAAAAGTTGTACTTTTTCTATTTCTTTGCCAAAAAATAATGGATTTACAGATTTTTGGATATCATCAAATAAACGTACTAGTATTTATTATTCTCTACAAATATTTTACAATTTCCTAGATGACATGTCCTGTGAAATTGTTGTAATTTTATAAATTAAATATTCTATTTCTGATCTTAAGCTGAACAAATTTGCTCAAACTCAGTTATATTCTAAGTTAACATATTAGAACTAAATAATGATAATTAAAGAAGGGAATAGTGTACAATTTTATATATTGCTACCACCAGATAGTTTTCAAGGTTTAATAAAGACTCAAATTGCATTTTTCATAATCAAATACTGAATTTAAAATAGATCTACATTGTTTTTGTTGTTCTTTTGTGTTTTTTGTTCCTTCTAATTATCCTATATTTGTGGCACATACTCTCTCTCTCACAAGCATAGACACACATGTGAACATGTGTGGTGGGAATGGATGTGGTGTATAGTAGCAGGGTTCCTTATACAAAAATAAAGTTGATTTCATAAAATTGTAATCAAATTATGAAAAAATGTGCTAATGCTACAATCACCAAATACCTTCCTTCCAATTAAAAGGATTACTCATTTTACTCTAGTTGGTTTAATTTCTACATTTTCCTCTCAGATACATTTATTTTTAACAAATGGAGCCATAGATTTTGCATTAATTGGCAGGCACCCTTTCTGCACAGATGTTACTTGTTTCTCTTTCCTCTTTCTCATAGAAATAAACATATCTGCGGAGGATCATTGATAAAGGAAAGTTGGATTCTTACTGCAAGACAATGTTTCCCTTCTCGGTAAAGTGTTTCTGAAACCAATATTTGTTTTGAGCATTTAAAAATATGTATGGCTTCCATTTAGCTTTTAGGCTTAGAATGTGTATTCATTTAACAGAGATTCAGTGGTATGGGGTCAACAAATTAATTTCTCTTTTTAGATTTAGCTTACAAAACTTACTTTGACTTAATTGATATTTACTTATTGGGTACTGCTTCTGTTCACCTCTTTCCACAATTGGCAATACTCTCATTTGGGGGAAAAATTTGCCAGAATTATGTAAATAATTTTTACCCCAACTTCCCACTTGTACTCTATATTTCTACATAGAAATTCTTTTTCTGAATTATTACCACACTTCTCTCAATATTTACTTCTCCTTTCTTATGTAGAGCCAGCCTCAGATTCAGCCTGGGAATAATTTTCAATGAAAATTAGCCTTAGGAAAAGATAAGGAGGCAGCATTTGTAAGCCTATTTCCTGATTCTGGTCAAGGTCACTTTGATTTTGTTAGTATAAATCTTCAACCCCCATTAACAAACCAAATGTATACACAGCTGAGACAAAAAGGATAATTTGCAGTAAAATTATAATTTTTGTAATGTACTTTGCCTGAGAATTTTTCACAAATGACTTACTCTCTAGCAAGCAGAATCATTATTTTTTTAAATAGTCATTTAGAATTTCAGCAATTTAAAAGCTCTTCTTGCTTATATGTGCTTGTAGCATTCAGAATCTCTCATAACAAATGTGTTCCTCTTTATTATACTTTGAATCAAATTTCAAATTTAGGTTATTTATCTGCCCTCATAAGCTAAAATAATATATATGAATAATATTACATAATTTAAAATTGTATTTTACATTTTAATTTCTCACTTAGAAACAAAGACTTGAAAGATTATGAAGCTTGGCTTGGAATTCATGATGTCCATGGAAGAGGAGACGAGAAACGCAAACAGGTTCTAAATGTTTCCCAGCTGGTATATGGGCCCGAAGGATCAGATCTGGTATTACTGAAACTTACTAGGTTAGTTCCTTTAGAAGGTTTTGTATTTTTAACCTAGACTTGAAACTTTTTTTCAGCTAGGTGGCTGTTCTTTCTATCATGTAGATTTATTAAAAAATCATCTGTCACATAATATATATGTATATATGTGTATATGTGTGTATATATATATATATATACACACACACACAGAGACAGAGAGAGAGGCATTTTCAAAATTTTCAAAAATGAATAAATGAAGTTGGGCCAACAGTCTGATCAGCCTGCTCTAAAACCAAAGCTCAATGAGCAACTATTTGATAATTTTAACAGGTGAAATAATGATTTAAAAAAATAGCAGTGATCCATTTATTCTTAAATATTAGCAAATGAATAGCTCATTTCTCTACCACCTACTCCAAATTTTTACATTATATGTTAGACATTCCCTTTTTCTTTTTCTTTTAAGAAATAAGACTGTTTATTCTCTCTAAATATTCTATTAAACATTAACACTGCATTTTAATATGTTAATTTTGCGTTGAATTCAGTCAAGAGTACTTACCATTAAGTATTATATTTTCTCTTTTCAGGCCTGCTGTCCTGGACGATTTTGTTAGTACAATTGATTTACCTAATTATGGATGCACAATTCCTGAAAAAACCACTTGCAGTGTTTATGGCTGGGGCTACACTGGATGTAAGCTATTCTTTAAAAGATAAGACAATATCATATTTATTTTATTAAAAAAATTTGTATTTGTTTCTTATTTTTCTCACCTCACCATGTGCTCATTAACTGTACATTTTTTGCACCATTCTAGTGATCAACTCTGATGGTCTCTTACGAGTAGCACATCTCTATATTATGGGGAATGAGAAATGCAGCCAATACCATCAAGGGAAGGTGACTCTGAATGAGTCTGAAATATGTGCTGGGGCTGAAAATATTGTATCAGGACCATGCGAGGTAAGAAGGGAGGTTTTTTTAATAAGGAGTATGTGATGGATAGCATAGTTTCTCATGTTTATTTATTTTTATTTTTTTCAAGTCAAAATCATGGTACAGCTACCTGTTCTAAGAGAGAGGAGTTGAGAAAGATAACTCTGTATTATCCTTGTGCATTTCTTTTAACTAAACAGTGGGACAATCCATGTGTCATTAGCAGGAAACTACGATGACATTTGTCTCTCATAAAAACAGTAAACAATACAGCCAGAACTCTAAGGGAAAGCTGTTCAAATTAGAAGTATCCAATATGCAGTTTGATACAAAACCTTGCATTTTTCTAATATTTTTTTAAAATTTATCTGATCTTACCAAATTCTCCCTAAATGAACTCTATTAAAGTTTTATTAAGAGATACGTGCCTGGTTTTAAACTTTTAAAAGTTTAAAAGTGTGTGTTTTGGATTCAGCCAGTGTGTGCATGTGTGTGTGTGTGTGTGTGTGTGTAAACAAACGCTATTTATAAAAAGAGCAAGAGGTCAAAGTTTGTCACTTGAAGAGTTTGGACATTTCATTTGTTAGGCAACTGTTCTTTCAACTTGGCAGTGTTCCTATCCCTATTTTACATAGACAAGCTGTTACACTGTTATTTTAGATATATTTTGAATGTAGGAGACATGCTCTCCAAGCCTGGGAGATGTGGAATTGTAGAATACTACATGTCGCAAAGCATGGAATCAGTTCAATAATGTGAAATGTCTTTTGACGTCTAGGAAAATGCCTTAAGTGTAGAGCATAAATATGTATAGAAATGCGTGTGTTATATATATTGCTCTGAGATTTATTCCTGAAAAGAAAATTTTTCCGAAGTTAAAGAGTTTTTAGAACTGCTTTAAGATGATATGGTTAGAAGCAGATTATGTGTTTATAACCCCTTTCAAATTTGGTGTTTTTCCAGTAGATAAGTATTACTGTGTTCATTATAACATGTGAAAATCTACTACTTTTTATCCCTCCCTCCCTCCCTTCCTTCCTTCCTTCCTTCCTTCATTCTTTCCTTCCTTCCTTCTTCCCTTCCTTCCTCCCTTCCTTCCTTCTTCTTTCTTTCTCTCTCTCTCTCTTTCTCTTTCCCTAAGAGCCCTGTAAGCGTGAAGTTTTGAACTAGACCCAATCTTTGAGATCATTTAGGAAGCTATGCACTTAACCCAGCCCTACTGCCATTACCAAAAGTGTTTTGACAACTGCTCTTCAGGAATAGCCTGTAATCTGGTTTATCATCTAGACATTCTTAGATTCCTAACTTTAACATTGAAGTATTTATCACATTATCGCATATTTGTTATTTTTTATACATATTGACAAGACAACTTCAGATTGATTCTGCCACTTCTCAAAAATGCATTTATGCTCCAGAATGTCGTTTTACATCACTGATATTTAAAACAAAGTGATATAATCTAAATAATATGTAATATAATATAAATCACAAAAATCTAAACACTTGAAAAAGAAATCTATCAAATGTTTATATAATAGCAATAGCATCACATTTAGTGATAGTCTCCCAAAGTGAATTGCTTTCAAGAGAGTTCATATCAGTAATCACTGATGCATTTATTTAAAAATCAGATTTACTAACTCATGTGGCATAGTTTATCGAAATCTCCTAGAATAAACTATTTTGCTTACTATTTTATGTTCTACTTCACCCCTACCTTGATTTTCCCCATCATGAAATGTTGATAGCTCTCTTCTTTTCACCTGTATCACAGAACTAAATTTTGCTGTAGTTTAGTTTTATCTCATCACATCATTGTTGGGGAAAAATTGATAGTCCTAAACACTCTTTTTAATATAAGGATACCAAAAGCCAGTCATTGCAATCTTAGGAGGCTACATGGTGCATGAAAGTGACGCAGCACATTTGTAATGATTACATATAACAGTATGTGTAAATATATATATATGTATATAAAAATATACATAAATCAACCCATCAATCTGTCAATCTATTCATCTTTCATCTATCTATCACCTATCTATATCTGATGATACAACAGGGTTACCATACAAGAAATGCCATGGAATCATAGACTACCTTCCACAAAGAGAGGTATAAACATAAACATAACTATATTAACTACTAGTATCAACAGTAAGTAAAGGAGCATTCCTTCTTTATGCTTAGAAAAGCAATTTCCAAATAGTAAATAGAACTATTTTATCAACCACAAGTTTTTATTTAACTTGTTAAGATCAATCTAAGGGCATGATTGGAGGAAGAAAAAAAAGCTTTAGAAATAAGAGAAAATTTAATGCAGTTTAGCCATTAAAACTGTTTGACTACAGATGGAGTTTTATTTGTACTCGTATTTTTCTACATTTTCCAAATTGAACATAAACACCAGAAGAAAATAAAAATAAATTTAAAATCTACTTTCATAAATAGTTATCAATGGTTATGTGTTAATTAGTCTGCATTCAACAAAGGCAAAATCTATTTTCAAAGATGAGTGAATATTTTGGAAAAGACAAGTCATTCTTAAATGAATACCATACATAACAGAACACTTGGAACTTTTGTCCTTATCTCAGTCTTACTTGGGTAATTCAATAGAAGACAACCAATGCTCTAGTCCATCAATTTTATGTCTTCATATTTTAGTTGCAGTTATCCTCTTTTTTGTATTTATGTACCTCTGAGATACATGTAGGAATCTGTATAGGAAATGTTAATGAATTATTAATTTTTATTTCTAAAATAAGACTTTTTTTTTGTTGTTATTGTCGATGTCTTCTTCCTAGGGGGATTATGGTGGCCCACTTGTTTGTGAACAACATAAAATGAGAATGGTTCTTGGTGTCATTGTTCCTGGTCGTGGATGTGCCATTCCAAATCGTCCTGGTATTTTTGTCCGAGTAGCATATTATGCAAAATGGATACACAAAATTATATTAACATATAAGGTACCACAGTCATAGCTGATGTAACCACGTCTGAAGCTTCCATCAATACAACTTTCTTTTACATGAAGATTTCGGAGAACATGGAATTAAAATGTCACTTAAAACAATCCTAAGACAACTACTTGAGTGTCATGTTTGTTAAGATACTCATTAATATTTATGGATGTTTTCTGTTGTTTTGTTTGTCAGTGTTATTTTGTAAATGTTGAAGTGAATTAAGGTACATGCAAGTGTAGTAACATATCTCCTGAAGATACTTGAATGGATTAAAAAATGCAAAGGTATAATTGCTAGATGATAAAAGATTTAATGGAAAAGATCAATTATTCTCTCTACGCTGCTTTCCAAGGTTAGTTTCTTAATAATGAATAAAACATAAGTTAAACATTATTTTAACCTCACAAAAGCAATTTATACCTTGTGTCCTTAAATTGTAACTCTATATCAAATTATATTACCTTTCATATGCCATACATTATATTTCATTCATTTCCCCTTAACGTGTATCCTGTAATACTGGTCCACGTAACTTTTTACAAAATAATGTACCCATATACACATTGCCTGGGTACGCGTGTACATGCACTAGAGTTCAAATTGTGGTGTATCTCATGTAACCCCTAAATAATCTGAAAGTGTGTTCCTATAGTTTTCCTTAAGAAAAAAAAATAGAAATTTCTAAAGACCAGTAGAAATATTAAGGAAAGGTGTAAGATAGTAGTGACGAGCTCATCACTTGCAGATGATGAGTCTGCACCCGCAGACTAGCTTGCAGATGACCTTTGCTGGTTGGCATCAAAGGTATGGTCATGACCCACAAAGTTAAATAAAAACCTAATTTATATGTTTACATATATTTATCAACCTAGTTATTTTATGTAGTTTCTAATTTTTAAAGGGAAGGGGGTAATATGTGTATTAGTATTATTTCTTTTCTCCAAATTTAGGGCCACTTATTTATGCAAGATATTTTTAGATCTATTTCCCTAAAGTATTTTTTAAATTCTTAGATAACTGTTTCAATTGAAGTTTAAAAATGTTTTGGTCTAAAATTTTTTTAAGAACGTTAACTCTAAGTCGTGCTGCTGTGATTGGCTTCTAGCTCACCCTCTCTAAATATTTAAAAATTATTGAAGAGGAAAATCTCCATTTGTCTCCAAAGATTTCTAAATAGGCCTTCAGCAAATTATGGATTAAAGTATATATTGAAGAAAAAAATCAAAATACTTTTCTCAACCTTGAAGTCTTTTAGCCTAATAAAACTTTACTCAAATAAAAGAAAAAAAAAATGTAAAAGGAGGGAAAGGAACTAGCTTGTTTAAACTCTGTATTCATTTTTTTTAAAGTAAAGATGAATCTGCTGAATGAGATATTTTATCAAAATATCTTCATTTTATCTTCACTTTACACAGATCTTTTCTAATGCTGTGGGAAATATGCATTCAAATTTTGTATTTTGTTTGATAATAGCCAACTTATCATATTTATTATTGTATTTTTCATGATTAGCTAAAAATCACACATTTGTCAAGAAATGAAATAACAAAGAGTAATAGGATAGGCTCTGAATTTTCACAAAATCTTCCTGTACAAAAGATCTTTAAAAATAATTATTTGAATGATTTGAGTCCAGTATTCCCATTTCTCTAACTTATTTCTCTTGAGTGATCTCTATGAAGGTCAGGGATACAGACAATGCTCTGAAAGTTCTATAGGACACTGTTCAATCTTGAGTAGAGTGGTTTTAAGTTTACACAAGAGCTTAGTTCACAGAGTATAGGGCAGCAAATCCAGAAATGCTTATCTAAATTATGCCACATTTTTTTGGTAATAAGATATGTGCTGGTATTAAGAAACAATGAAAACAGAGATCCAACAAGTTGCCAGTCCACACCATCTTATCTGATTGTATTTCTCTTTCCCTTGTTAATATATCATTTTAATCAGAACACATAGAAATTTCAAAGGTATATTGCCCAAATATTAAAATATTTTTCAGTTTCTTCTTGCTGAACTGGCAAAATTTTATTGTCACATATTAATGATATTTGTAAAATGTTTATAAAATTGTAACACTTTTATCACATTTTAAAATATTTTGTTCATATCTTTTCCTCTAAATTTCCATGGAAAGAGAGATAGGGATTACCTAGATAGAAGATGCAGCTAACTTCTTGGCTATTGTGAACTCAGTGTTTTCCATTTTATTAAAGGGTAAAAACAAGACCACCAATAAACCATCATACATGGTGTACAAAGCATTTCTTTCTTTAGGAAGGTTCCTTTGTAATAGAGAGAGATTGGTGGAATTGACAATGAAAGCAAGATGAACAAGATCCATGTTATCTTAGGTGGTAGGACAGGGTATAATCATGTCATTTTTCTCTGGTAAAAGATACTATTTCCTGGGCACTCTTTTCTTAATAAACTACAAAAGTGAAAAAAACAATTATCCAAATTATCCAAAAATCCATTTCATTTTGAGTCATGGACAAAGGATCTTTTAAATTAGAATTGGTCAATGCCATTTTTTTGGCTGTTTGGATAGTGGTTATATGCTGTTATAATTGTGGACATTTTCTTATGTCTACCAGGAATAGTGGTGTAAAATTAAAATATTTGTCATAATGCCTCTGCAGTGCAGAAGGGAGGATAATCCTTTTGTGTACTTCTTTAATTTTATTGTAAAATATATAATGACTTTTACCTATTTGCTGTGGGCAGGTCCTCAGTGAAATGGTTTATATTGAGTCAATCTCTAGTATTAACAGGCTCTTGCTTGCTATCTAAGTGTTTCAAACTATGGGAAATGTGAGACACTGAAAGGCAAGAAAAATAACAATAATGGCATGTGATAGCAAAATTGTATTTCACTTATTCCTGTGAATATTTCTTGTTGGTACCAATGGTACTGTACAAAGTGAATGTTATAGCCACAACATTCTCTTGAAAAAAAAACACTGTCAAGAAGTGAGAAATTGCTCTCAGGCATTTTCTTGTTGCTTCTAAGCATTTTTTTAAAACAGAAATACTGGTTTTGCAATATAGAGATCATGAGGTAAAGAATTTTAATAAACTCACACTAAAAAAAATTTAAATTGATTTACTGAAGTTCAAAAAATAACTACTCTCAATCAGTTATATTCCATATTTATAGACAAACTCATTGGAAAAATAAAATTAATTTGAATAAAAAGACATAGTCTTTATGTGAATAAATTACTTTTCACAGTAAAGTCCAAAAAGAAGTTATCTTTCAACGTTTAACTGAGTTTTGAACTAAGAATTTACTAATACAAAAAAAAGGTTAAAATTCTCCGGACCTTATCAATCTTGACAGTGTAATTTTAAGTAGGTTCATTTCCATTTGCACAGAAAGTTTCTGTCTTTAGGAAACTGAAAATGGAATACTGTGGATGTTATGACTGTTAGTCTTATGTGTAAATAGGAAATTGATAAGCTGCCTATTGAGTGGTATAGCTAGATGCTTACCCAAAAAGGGAACACTGTGGTTATGACTTGTATATAAAATTTCTGTAGTTAATAAAGTTGTTATTTTTATAACCATGATTATATTGTTATTATTCCTAATAATAATAAAATATTTTATAAAAATGTTCCCCTTCTCTTATTATAATTATTTCCATGGACATATTTGAATCTACTCTAGGGCTTAATGCAGAAAGCAACAACAACAATGATCTCATTAACAGAAAAGACATACACTTTGTTGCAAGAAATGTCATATCACCTGTTTATAGAACTAAGACAAAAAAATTATTATTTTATTCCAACTTCTATCTATGGCAATATCAGTGGTCTTCAGTAAACCATTAATCTCTACATACTTTTATTTCTTCCACTGTAAAATATAATTATTCAGTCATTCTTCATATTTGCTAGAATAGTGCTGATGTAATTTTCTAATATACATAAAATATTGTCATGAATGATCACCCAAATTCCTTTACCGTATCACTATAGATTTTAAAGGTAATTGTAAATGATTCAGTTAGTCAATTTGGAGTCTATCTTCAAAATATGCATTAAATTCAGAATAAATATGAATCAAATGGATTCATTTAATTCAAATCGGAAGCAAGATCGGAAGAACTAATTATCAATTGATCTAACCAAAAGAGCTCTGTAACACCATTGATTATTTAAAGTTATACTGCCTCTCCCCCAAAAAGGCTGCTCTCTATTAATTTTTCTGGCTTAGACACTTATCTCAAGTGATGATTAATATATCTAATTCTAGAGCCCATGATAAAATATCTGATCTTCCTAATGATTATGATCCAAGCAGATTATATGCACTTACTCATTTCTGGTGTCAGTAAGAATATTTCAAATATATATACTATTGATTTTTCTAAATTTTTATTTTTCCCCTCTCTTTTCTAGAACTCTATTCCATTCTAAACCTATATTCTGCTATTCTAAGTGCAATAGCTCTGAAAAGCTTCTTTAAGAGATGGTATCTGAACAGGGTCCTCGATTAAGTGAGAGAGCAAGCTATGTAAATAATATCTGGGGTCTGATAAATAAAACTTGGACAATATTTTTGTTGGTTTCTTAATATAGTTTATTTATTTACTCTTATAAATTGCAATACTTTAATCAGTCACCATTTGTCAATGTCCTGAATAGAATCACCTTGGTTTGCATTTCCTCAATGTTTTAGTCCAGGAGTTTTATCGCCATTCTGCTTCATTATTTTCCTACACAGGCACCACCCTTAACCTATGTAATCCTAAAAGTGCTTTCTATATCATTTCACCAAACTACAACCCTTTCATGTAAAATTCAGATTAAAAGTCTTATTCTAGACAGTCTCTATTTTTCTTTTGTCTCTTATATTTACAAATACCTCAATTGCGCGTATTGTTTAGGAAAGCTGAAATTTAAAAGTAACGTCAAGAGAAAAAGAGCATTTGTAGTAATTTGGGTGAAGTTTACAGTACTATGAAGAATATGTTATTGCCTGAAGCACATCTAACAAAGACAGAAGATTCTGGGCAAAGGAAAGACACTTTTAACTTTACTTCACATAATTCAAAAGATTTGTGAAATTATAGATTATTTATACGTATATTTATGCTTTAAAAAGTAAACGACATCAAAACAAAACAAAATCTATCAATCTGACACATTATCTAACTCCAAACTACCTTTGGACCCTCATCTCTCCCAAATACTGAACACTCATCACTTTATTTTCATCATTTTAAACATACCTTCACACTTAAACTTCATGCCTGTGTTCAAACAGTCCCTGCAAACATCAGGCTTTTCTTTAACACCTCAAAACTTTCAAATGTCATACAATTTCCCTTGTGAATTCATCCTCAACATCCTTACCTAGAAGTTATCACTTCCTCAGCCTACTGCTGGGTTACTTGATGCTTTATTTTCACTTGTTACAATGGTCTGCCTATGACTGCGTGAGGTTTGTTTTGTTTTGCTTTATTCCACTTTGTTTTTAATGTGCAATCTACCTCCACTCAGTTTGAGCTCCTGGAGACCTCAGCAATGTCTTGTTATTAGTATTTGTATGTTCTTTATTTTGCACAGTGCTTCATGCATAATGACACCCCATATATTTTATAATTATTGATATTCTATAATCCACCCGCTTTTTAAAGGCATGTCAGTATT